TCTAAAATAGCCCTGTGATTTAGTTCCCTTATACCACAGAAAAGCATGCCAGCCCAGTAATAAATCATGTCCTTCTAATGTCAACAATCTAGTCTTTCTTAATGTTATCCATTCTTTGGCCCACATTAAATTTGCAGCTTGGTAGTACAACTCCCAATTAGGAAGGCCAAATCCTCCTCTAGTTCTAGCATCTTGTAAAAGTTTTAATTTTATTCTCGCTTTCTTACCTTGCCATATATACTTCAACACAATTTTATTTAATTCTTCAAAATAATCTTTGCCAAGCCTAATTGGTATTGTTTGGAACAAATATAAAATTCTGGGTAAAATATTCATCTTGATTGTTGAAATTCTACTATCAATGACAGTTGTAGGTTTTCCCATTTCTTCAAATCAGATGCTATCTGCTGTTTAAGTTTAATATAGTTATTCTCTTTCAATGTAGTACATCTTGGCGTCAAATGTATCCCCAAATATTTAACCTTATTCGTAACTTGAATTTTCAATATATCTGCCAGTTCTTCTCTTTGTCTTAATAACATGTTCTTTGTCAGAATCTTTGTTTTATCTTTATTTATTTTCAAACCAGCCATCTCACCGTACGTCTCTATCTTTTCCAATAGTTTTAAAGCTGTCTCTAGAGGATCTTCCAGAATAAAAACCAAGTCATCCGCAAAAGCTTGCAATTTAAATTCCTCCTTTTTGACTTTCATTCCTTTTATATTTTGATCCTCTCTAATATTTCTATTCAACACTTCCAGAGTCAATACAAATAACAAAGATGATAATGGACATCCTTGTCTTGTGCCTTTTCTTATATTAATAGAATCTGTAAATTCTCCTTCTATCATTACTTTTGCCGTTTGCTTATAATATATGGCTTCTATTGCTTGAATAAACTTTCTAGCAAAGCCCATCTGTTCCAGTAATAGTAACATAAATCTCCAGTTCACATTATCAAATGCCTTTTGGGCATCTAGGAATATCAAAGCCATTTGTTTTTCAGGATGCGCCTCATAGTATTCCAAAGTGTCCAAAATTACCCTCATATTATCTTTAATTTGTCTCTTTGGTAAAAATCCATTCTGATCAGGATGAATAAAACTATTTAAGTATTTTTTTAAGCCTTTCTGCCAAAATTGACGCAAAGATTTTATAATCCGCATTCAATAAAGAAATAGGTCTATAGTTCTTAATTTGTAATAGGTCGGCCCCTTCTTTTGGAATAAGTGTAATATAAGCTTCTGACCATGTTTTAGGTATTTTCTTATTTAACATAACTTCATTCATGACTTCTAGCAGTGGAATGCTCAATGATTCTTGTAGTGTTTTATAAAATTCTGCCGGAAGCCCATCCATTATTCTGTCTGTTGAATGCTTCAGTTAATTCCATCATTGTTATAGTACTTTCTAGCATTTTTTCAGTCTCTTCAGGTATCTTAGGTAGGTTAGCATTTTGTAAATACTGTTTAATTTTTTCCTCATCAAGATCCTCCTGTTTATATAATTGTCCATAAAAGTCTCGGATAATTGCCTTTTTCTCCTTATTACCATAGCACATTTGGCCTTGATCATCTATTAACTGTAGTATTTTCCTTGATTCTTTCTCCTTTCTCAGTTTATATGCTAGCCATCTACCTGGCCTATTTGCATCTTCAAAATAGTTCTGTTTAGCAATTCTAATTTTTTGTGCCAGTTCTTCTTTCTCTACCTGACCCATTTTATGTTTAGTTATGTCCATTTTAAGTTTAATGTCTTTTTTTTGTGGCATTTTCTGTAATTCTTTTTCCAATTTTTTGTAGTCATCTTCTAAAGCTTTGATGGTTTGCCTCTTCCTAATGTTCTTTTTCTTTGTATAGTCTATTATTAATCCTCTCGCATATGCCTTCATTGTATCCCAAACATTCTGTATTGAAGTATCTTCTTTTTTATTTTCACTAAAGAAGAAGGCCAATTCTTTTTCCATCCATTGTGTGAAGTCTTTTTCCTTTAAAATAGTATTGTTTAATGTCCATCTCGATCTTCTTTTTTGTCCTTTCCATTTAATTGTTATTGGATTATGGTCTGCCCATGTACTTGTTTCAATATTTATTTCTTGAATATTGGATAATAATTCTGTTGATGTCCAAATCATATCTATTCTGGACCATGATAAATGTCTATTTGAATAAAAAGTATATTGTTGAATTTTAGCATTTCTTTCTCTCCATATATCTTTTAAATTTAATTCATCTGTCATTTTAAAAAAAGATTTAGGGAGAATCTTCCTATTTTGTCATGTTGCTTTTGCTGTATAGTCCAGTTTATTGTCTACAATTCCATTGAAATCTCCCATCATAAGTATATTAGCATAGTCCAGTCCAATTATTTTCATATGTAATTTTTTGTAAAATTCTTCTTGTTTATCATTCGGGGCATAAATTGCAATCAGGAGTGTTTTTATATTATTATCAACTATTTCAACCATTAATACTCTTCCGTCTTCATCAGTATAAATCAATTTTGCTGGAATGGTTTCTTTAATGTACAAAACCACTCCTCTTTTCTTACAGTGAGTCAGAGAGGTAAATATTTTCCCTAATTTTGGTCGTGCCAGTAATTGTTCGTATTGTTTTTTAATGTGTACTTCTTGTAAGCAAATTATATCAAATTTTAACTTCTCTAATTTGTGAAAAGTTTTTCTTCTTTTGGTAGCTGAATTCAGTCCATTTATATTCATAGAAATCAGGTTTTTTTCCCTCCATGATTATGTTTTGTATTTAGGTCTAACAGCTCTCGTGGATCTTACTTCACGTTGTTCTTTGGTCTCCACTTGTCCACCTATTGTGCCTTCTTCTTTTCCCATTCTTATTTGGTCCTCTTCAAATTCAGTTAAAATGTTCTCTTTTTCTATCTCCATTTCTCTTCTTTCGAAAAATTCCTTGTAAAATGTTTCTGCTTTCTCAATTGAATCAATTCTATGTCTCTGTTCTTGCCATGTAAACATTAATCCTTCTGGGATCAGCCATCTGTAGTTCACCTCTTTTTTCAGTAGCATTTTGGTCAAAAATTGATATTCTCTTCTGATCTCTCTCACTTTTCTAGGTACTTGTTTTAAGACTACAATCTCTTTGTCTTTATATTTCAACACCTTCTCTCTTGCAGCTTGTAATATTTGGGTTTTAATAGTTTTTTGGTGAATCTAACATGGACCTCTCTTGGTAATTGGTTCCTCATCGCATATCTTGTGAAAACCCGATATATCTCATCTACTCCATCCATCATCTTTTCCTCTGTTATTTCCAAGGCTCCAGCCAAAATTTCAATCATTACTGCAGCCAAGTTTTGTCCTTTTTCTTCCTCGATATTTTGGAATCTAAGATAGAATTCTGATCTGTCCATCTTGGAGTGGGAGCCATCTTGAGCCACGTCCTGCCAAATGGCAATGAGGCACCTATTGCTTTTTTCTCAAGGACCTTATCAAAGACTGAAAGAAACTATAGCCAACTCGATAAAGAGGCTCTCGCTATTGTGTCTGCCATTAAGCGTTTCCATGAGTATGTATATGGAAGACCATTTTCCATAATCACCGATCACAAACCATTGCTTGGCATTTTAGCGGGAGACAAACCAACTCCCCACATTTTATCGCCAAGAATGACACGTTGGTCAGAGTTTCTAGCCGCATACGATTATCAACTGAGACACCGCCTGGGGAAAGCCATTCCCCACACTGACGCCTTGAGTCGTTCCCCGCTACCTGAAGCCATCGACGATCCAGCTCCAACCCTAACTGCACTCCAAATTGAAACTCTTCCCTCACCACCGCTGACTGCACGAGACATCACCACAGAAACAAAACGGGATCCTGTTTTGGCACGAGTACTCAGCTGGGTGGAACGAGGTTGGCCTGACAACGAATTCAACGACACCTTTGCGCCTTTCAAACATCGGCATACAGAACTATTCTCTCAAAAGAGCTGCATTTTGTGGGGAGACAGAGTCGTCATCCCGGAGAAGCTACAACATAAAGTTTTAAAACTATTGCACGATGGTCATCCAGGCATCGTGCGAATGAAGGCACTGGCCAGAAGCTACGCGTGGTGGCCAGGTATAGATAAGCAGATAGAAGCCTGGGTGGCCACATGTAGCAAGTGGCAGGAAATTCATGCTGCCCCACCAAAAGCAACTCCAACTGAGTGGGAAGCACCTCGCGGTCCCTGGTCCCGCATCCACATCGATTTTGCGGGACCCACAAAAGGGCACACTTTTCTTATAACAGTGGATGCCTATTCAAACTGGCTCGAGGTCCACAAAATGAAGAGCACCACCACAGAAGCAGTCATTAAAAAATTGAATAAATTATTTGCTACACACGGATTGCCGGACGTTTTAGTCTCAGATAACGGGCCCCAGTTCACTGCCCTGGCATTTGAACAGTATCTAGCAGACAGGGGCATCTGCCATGCTTTAACATCGCCGGCTCACCCTGCGGCCAACAGCAGGGCTGAGCGAATGGTCCAATTCGTGAAGAAGACCTTACACAAAATGGAACATGGGGACATTGACAACAAGATAACCAGAATGCTTCTCCTCCAGCACAACACCCCACACAGCACCACAAACAGAACTCCGGCCGAACTCCTGATGGGCCGGAAACTTCGCTCACACCTTGATCGCCTACACCCTACCTACACGCCAGAAAAGCCCTTGGGGTCCAGCAGCAAGTGTCGTGCGTTCAAGGTAGGCGACTTAGTCTTTGCAAAAAAACTTCTCAGGTGACCCACTGTGGGTTCCTGCTACCATAACTCAACTCACTGGGCCCAGATCCTACCGTTTGCAAACTGATGATGGAAAATTATGGAAGCGCCACATAGACCAGCTTCGCTCCAGACTGGCACCTACGCCCATCTCGTCCCCTGAATCTCAAACCGGGGGGGGGGGGAAGGGACATCGAGGAGGCCGAAGAAGAAATAGCAGATGACCTAACAATTGGAACTCAGCAGCCTACACAAACAACCATGGGATACTCACCTCCAGAAGGAGAACCGAACCGGGTGATTGCCTCACCACGTGGCAGCACCGCGATGCAAGCGAATCCAAGGAATCCCGATGACAGCATTGGTGAGAGCGGTGAGGACAGTCCCGAGTCACACAATGGAGCAGCGGGACCGTCTTCGCCATCCAGCTCAGCAAGCAGCCCACCGGAACCAGAGAAACCGGTGGAACAGCGCAGGTCAAGCAGACAGGTGAAGCGACCTGCCTACTTGTGAGAATACGTCACCCCACCCCTAAGACGGAACCTAGGGGGGAGGGGTGTTACGAACTAAGCTAATGCGTTCATTAACAACCCTAATAGCTTTACTTCAACAGCAGGCTCGTAATCCTGCACTTCTGATTGGCCCGCGAATAGCGAGTCGTGATTGGTCGTTTCTGGCTGATCTGATTGGCTGACAGTGGGTCGCCTCTGATTGGACGCTTCTTAGAGCGGTAAACTCAAATCATTGGTTGTTTTGACAGCAGCCAGCTCTATAAAAGAGCTGCTGCTGTCCAAGTATTTTGCTCTGTTCTGAAGTCACTAATAAAGAGTTGAAGTCACAGTTCAATGCCTTGTCTCTGTTCCTTGCGGCCATGCTCAGGACATAACAGTCTGTCTGTCTGTCTTCCTGCCTGCTTGCCTGCCTGCCTGCCTGCCTGCCTACCTACCTATCAATATATCTACCTACCTACCTATCTGTCTCTCTGTCTCTATCTATCCATCCATCCATCCATGTTCGAGGCGCCAGCTCCATAGGCACATCAGGAAAGTAGAGTAAAGCCAGTCTGGGAAGGAGGGAGAGAGGGAGGGAGAGAGGGGGGGGAGGGAGTGAGTGTGTGTGTGAGAGAGAGAAAGAGAGAGAGAGACCTGATGCATCAGATTGAAATGAGGCCTAGTTTAGACTGAGGCCCTTTTCCACATTGAAACATCTTTGCCAGCACATTGAAACATCTTTGGCTTCTATTAAAGGTTTTGTGGACGAAACATGGTCAAGACTATCAGGAAGCTCTCACATTTTGTTGAGGCTTTAAACAGGATCCATTGGACCAGACCTCCACCCTAATATTCTCTCAGAGATGAGAGAATATTATATAAGGGCAAAGAGATCATAGTTCTTAAGCAGATTCCAAGAAAAGTGAGGGCCTTAAGGCAAGAATATAAATTTTTAGCTAACCACTTAAATAAAAAAGAAATCTCATTCAAATGGCTAATTCCAGAAGGGATGCTAATATCGTGGAAGGGAAGAAAAATTAAAATAGATTCAATAGAACAAGCACAAGACTTCCTAGAACAGCTAACAACCACGGAGGATCAACACACTAGGGAGGAAACCCAAAGGAACATGCAGGAAGATCGGAACCGCCATAGGAACAAAGAAGAAAGACCCGTCCAAACCCAAGAAAAAGACAACTTACAACAAGAAAGAGAAGAAACATCTCCATACCAACCACAAGAAGAGAGCCGTATAATTACGAGACAAAAAGCGAGGCAGACTTAAGTAAATGGAGGAAGGAAGGAAAATCCTTTCCATCAATATAAACGGCCTAAATTCAAGAGCTAAAAGGAAGAGGATTCTAACCAAACTAATAAAACAAAACGGTGATATAATTTGCATACAAGAAACACACATTAGGAAAAGTGAGGAGAAATTTCTAGATTGTCCGAAACTGGGAAAATTATTCACAGCACCAGCAGACAAACACAAAAAGAAAGGTATTGCAATATATGTGAGAGATGATTTAAAAGTGGAGTTAATCTGGGCGGACCCTGAAGGAAGAACTCTGGTGGTACAAACTTCGATTAATGGCATTACATTTTTACTGGTAGTAATCTATGCCCCAAATGATGATCAAGGTAAATTTTTCAAACATCTCCACCAAAAAATAATAGATTTCGAAAAAGGCAATATTTGTCTGATTGGCGATTTTAACTCTATTGCTGACTACCGGAAGGATCATACTAACATGAGTAAGAATAAAAAAGGAAAAAGAGAATTTTCGAAGCCATGTAAGGATATGATGAATGAACTGAATCTGGTAGATATCTGGAGAAAACTAACCCCCCAAAAAGAACAGTTTACTTATTACTCTAACCCACATAAAATTTGGACAAGAATAGATATGGCTTGGATAAATGGTGAATTAATTAATGAAATCAAAGATAGCGAAATCTTACCAAATGACTGGGCTGACCACAACCCAATTCAAATAACCTGGAGAGGTAGAAGAAAACCAAAGAAAAGATGGACTCTTAACACTCACTTAATAAAAGAAGAAGAATATACTAATAAAGTGAAAGAAGAACTGAACTTCTTCTTAAAGGAAAATAATAATGAACTAACTTCGAAACAAAATATATGGGACACAATGTAGCCATTTATAAGAGGAACAACAATCTCTTACAATGCTATGAGAAATAAAAGAAAGTATGCCCAACAAAGTAACCTACAACAAGAAATTAAGGATTTAGAAACCCAACTACAAAAGAACCCCAAAAATCAAAGAATACAGAATCAGTTAATAACAACTAAACACAAACTAAATTTACTGGAACAAGAAAAATTGGAGATTAGTCTGAAAATGACTAAACAAATTTATTTTGAGCATGCAAACAAGCCAGGGAGATGGTTAGCCCACAAACTTAAGAAAACGAAAGAAAAAAGATTGATACATCAATTAATGGACGAGAGGGGCAATTTGCAAGAGGAGATAGAGAAGAAAAAAGAGATCACTTTTAAATACTTCGGGAAATTATACAAAAAGGAAGAAGTCTGTGAGGACAAAATAATGAAATACCTAGAGGAAGCGAATGAGAAAGCAATTGGAGAGGAAGAGATAGAATTATTCAACAAAAATATAACATGGTCCGAACTGAAGTCAGCAATAGAGAAGCAAAGTAACAATAAAGCGCCAGGACCGGACAGGATACCTGTAGAACTTTACAAAACAATCATAGAACAAATTGGACCACTGATGCTGGAAGTATTCAGTGAGGTACTCCTAGCAGCCAAGATGCCGGACTCGTGGAGGGGAGCCTTAATTTCGCTGATCCCAAAGGAGGACCTAGACCATAGACTTATTAATAATTATAGACCAATCTCGCTCCTGAATGCAGATTACAAACTATTCTCTTCTATAATAGCCAATAGACTAAAACAGGTTTTAAACACACATATCCATGAAGATCAAAATGGATTTCTCCCATTTCGACAAATTAAGAATAATTTAAGAACAGTGATAGACATTTTAGAATTCTATGAAGCCCATCCGGAAAAACAATTTGCATTTATGTTTTTGGACGCTGAAAAAGCATTCGACAATTTAAATTGGCATTTTTTAATTCAAAAAATATACAATATGAACCTCGGCACTAGATTCGAAAACGTCGTCACTACAATTTACCACACCCAACAGGCAAATATTCTAATAAATGGGGAACAAACTGGCCCAATAAAAATAGAAAAAGGGGTAAGACAGGGTTGCCCTCTCTCTCCTCTGCTTTTCATATTCGCCCTAGAATCTCTTTTGACGTATATTAGGCAAAATTAGAGAATTAAAGGACTGAGGATTAAATCAGAAGAGTATAAAGTACAAGCCTTCGCTGATGATTTGGGTTTTTTTTCTGGAGGAGCCCATAGAAAAAGGACATAACTTATTAGAAGAACTAGAACGATTTGGAAAAGTCGCAGGATTTAAAATTAATAGGGGAAAAACGAAATTAATGTCCCAAAAATTTAACAGGAGACCAGAATAAATAACTAGAGACAATAATGGGAATACAGGTGACAAAAGAATTAAATACTTAGTAATTTGGCTAACTCCACAAAGCAAATCATTAAAAGAAAACAATTATGACAAACTTCTCCAACAATCCAAGAAAGATTTAGATTCCTGGAGTAAATTACAACTTTCCTTATTGGGCAGGATTGCTCTGATTAAGATGAATATTCTGCCAAAATTTCTATATTTATTCCAGACAATTCCAATCAAATTAAATAAAAAAATTTTTTATGGAATTAAACAAGATAACGCTGAAATTTATTTGGCAGGGGAAAAAAGCTAGGATTAATGTAAAAGCCCTACAAGATTTGAAAAGCAAAGGAGGGTTAGCCCTGCCAAACTGGGAAATATATTATAAGGCAGCCACCCTACTATGGATAAAGGAATGGGTGAATTTAACCAACAAAAGAACACTAATATTAGAAGGCTACGATATGCAGAAAGGATGGCATGCCTTTCTGTGGGAAACTGGGAAACCCAGGCAATCATATTTCCATAGGCATCTTATCAGGGACTCTCTATTAACCAATTGGAAAAAAGTACGTAAAAAACTCTATCTAAAAATACCGATTTGGCTATCTCCAATGGAAGCAATAGTACACCCTAATAATTTGGATATAACTAAAATGATTAAGTACGAAAATTTATTAGACCCACAAGGAAAACTGAAAACACGACAAGAATTACAAGAGCGAGGATTCATAATTGATCAGTGGGTGTACCTTCAAATTCATAGTAGATACAAACAAGATATTAAGGAATTTGGAATCTACAATAAATTACAGGCTTTAGACAAAATTCTATTAGGACTGAGCAAAAAAAATATATGTAAATTTTACAAACATTTATTAGAAACTGAACTAGAACAAGAAATTGTCAAAGGAAATATGATTGCGTGGAGCAGAAACGTGGGACGGAGCATTACCCTAGCAGAATGGGAAAGGATCTGGAACAGGAACATTAAGATCACGAAATCAGCAGCTTATAAAGAAAACGCATATAAAATGTTTTATAGATGGCACCTGCCCCCTTCGAGATTGGCGAAGATGCACCCCAACACGAGCCCCAATTGTTGGAAATGCCAAAGCATAGAAGGTACCTTCTTCCATATGTGGTGGTCATGCAAGGAAACCCAGAAGTACTGGCAAAAAATTAGGAGCTGGCTAGAGGAAATAACCAAGGAACAAATTGAGTACAAACCAGAGTCCTTCCTTCTAGGAATTTTCGATAAACAAATACCCAAAAAATCGAAGTATATTATAATTCATATCTTAACCGCAGCCAGACTGGCATTCGCCCAGTGCTGGAAATTACCTTCCATCCCCACTGAACATATGGTTATTCAGAAAATTTTACAATGCGCCGAAATGGACAAACTAACCCAAGCATTAAAAAATAAAGAATCCTCAACCTATTACAACAATTGGAATCC